GCTGTTACCTTCCCACTGAAGTGGTACCTATTTATCTACTTGCAATTTCTTGCTTTCGAACTGCTAGGTTGGCAGGAGCTGGAACTAGAGACGGGAGCTCACTCCGTCATGCGGCACTCTCGGGTCTCGAACATCTATCATAGGGAAGGGATATTTAGAACAAATATTTAGAACAATGAATGAAGCAGGCTGTGGTAATTAACTTTATGAACTTGACACAGAGATGGCTGCATGGCAAGGTGCTAAGCAAGATAGGAGTCTGAGGAAGTCAATCCACATGTGTGGGGATTGCATGTTTTGGTCTGGCAGTGCCTGGAATTACTTTGTTATCTTGTACAAACCACAGCAGCATCTCCAGGCATTGCAAAACTGAAGAGCCGCATGCCTTTCACTTTGTCCTGCATTTGGCCGGGCTCGGCTTGGCTTGGCTTGGCGCGGCTCCTCCGTTCCCGGCCTGCCTGCAACGACGCGAGCTGCCGGAGCGCGATGGAGGAGGAGAAGGCGAAGCGGGCGGCGGACTAGCCGGACGGGGATGGGGACGGCCGCCGGCCTCCTCCTGGCCCTGGGCGCCGGCCTCCTCCTCCTCTGCCCAGGTAAGCCGCCGAAAGCGCACCGAAAGCGCCCTGCCAAGGGCACGCGGGGGGGATGGCACAGAGCTGGCCCCCCACAAGCCCCGAATCCGGGGGGATGCCCCCCACCCACCACCACCATAGCGAAAGGAAGAGGGAAACCCCCCCCCCCCAAAAAAACAGATCTTGCATCATTTTTAAATGGCATCATTTTTAAAAACGCGGGGACATTGCACATTTTTGGGTTCGAAGTTAAATGGTTTCCTATTCTAGAAGCCTTAACAGAAGAAAAATTCATTTCAGCATCCTGGAATAACTATATGAAATGGATATAATGACTTGTATATGGTTCAAATGAATATTGTTTATTGAAACTACATCGAGATAGCAAAATACTGATATCCTCAGGGTAAATTGTTTATGGTTTATAGGTTCACTGTGTTTTTCACATTGTTAGATATGCTACTGAATGCCTATTGATAGTTTAGAGGGCAGAAGGCACTTTATTGAGTTAATAGTAGCGAACAGAACAGGCTTTAATTAGAATACATTGTAAAAACAAGGTATTTTGTTCCAAAGTTTATTGAATTATACATCATTTTTCAATGCTTACATTTTTTATTCATATTGTACTGGTTAATATGTTTAACTGTTCTTTAGTTCATTATGGACTTGGCTAATGTTATAAAAATGTGATTGTTATGTTTTCTTAATACTATTGTATTATACCAATAAAATGTTATTGGAGATAAAAAAATTTTTTTACAAAAAAAACAACGCGGGATGCCAAACGACCCACCCACCCTTTAGGGTCGCCCGGTCCCCTCTAACCCCTGGCAGGGGTTAAGGGATGTAGAGTTGCCAGATCCAGGTCGGGAAACTCCTGGAGGTTTGGGGAGGACAGAGACAGGCGCCAGAGAGTCCGCCCCCCTCCGGAGCGTTCCCTTTTCTCCAGGGGAGCGGATCTCTGCAGCCTTGGAGACCAGTGTTCCCTCTAAGCCGAGTGAGTGTGAGCTAGCTCACCGTTTTTTTAGCCTCCAGCGCACACATTTTTGCCTTCGCTCAGGAAGGATGGGGCTCCAGAGCACACTGATTGATGCAGCAGCCAAATCGCCCGCTCGCAACTTCAATGCCAGGAGCTCACAAAGTAGGATTTTTGCTCACAAGACTCCACAGCTTAGAGGGAGCATTGCTGGAGACGAGCATGTAATTCCGGGGGATCCCCCAGGTCCCACCTGGAGGCTGGCATCCATAGGGGGATGGGGGGTAGAGTTGCGAGATCCAGGTCGGGAAACCCCTGGAGGTTTGGGGAGGATAGGGACAGACGCCAGAGAGTCCGCCCTCCGGAGCGTTCCCTTTTCTCCAGGGGAGCTGATCTCTGCAGTCTGTAATTCCGGGGGATCCCCCAGGTCCCACCTGGAGGCTGGCATCCATAGGGGGATGGGGGGTAGAGTTGCCAGATCCAGGTCGGGAAACTCCTGGAGGGTTGAGGATTGGAACACGGGGAGGGCAGGGACCTCAGTGGGGCGCGAAGTCCCTAGAGTCCACCCTCCGGGGGAACTGAGCTCTGTAGTCTGGAGCACTGTTCCCTCTCAGCTGAGTCAGTGTGAGCTAGCTCACCGTTTTTTAGCCTCCGGCTCACACATTTTTGCCTTAGCTCAGGAAGGGAGGGCTCCAGAGCAAACTCATTCATGCAGGAGCCAAATCACTCGCTCAGAACTTTAATGCCAGCAGCTCACAAAGGAGAATTTTTGCTCAGAAGACTCTACAGCTTAGAGGGAACATCTGGAGAGGAGCAGTAGTTCCGGGGGAGCCCCAGGGTCCCGGCCTCCGTCATCTTTACTCCCCTTTCATTGCATACGAGGGGGGGTGACCTAGTTTTGCATGGGAGCATTTGCAGCACAGATAACTCAGGCTTTAGCACTGTGCGCCGGTTCCCCGTGCTTTGAAGACAAACAAGCAAATTCTGCCTTTGCCCCCCCACCCCGCCCCCGTAACTCTGCAATTGCGTGCATGCTGGATCTGGGTTTGATGCCTAGCCCCCTGCTTCTGGGGAAGGCGGGGAGGGCAGGTTGGAGCGAAAAGGGGGCTGCTTTAAGCCCCCCCCCGCTCCCTCCGGGACCTTCAGGAACAGAGCCGGCCAAGAAGAGAGCAGACCCCCCCCCCATATTTGCATGAGGAAAGGCTGCAACATCCTTCTCGGAACGTCTGTTGAAAATCCTCCGGGAAGTTTTGCTCAAAGCACGTTTCAGACTGTGAGGCCTGTTTGCCAGGAATCTCAGCGTTCCCTCTAAGCCGAGTGAGTGTGAGCTAGCTCACAGTTTTTTAGCTTCCGGCTCACACGTTTCTGTCTTAGCTCAAGAAAGATGGCTCCAGAGCAAGCTGATTTATGCAGTAGCCGAAGTGCTCGTTCACAGCTTTAAGAAGAAGAGGAGATTGGATTTATGCCCCACCCTTCACTACCCAAAGGAGTCTCAGAGCGGCTTACAAACCCCTTCCCCTCCCCACAACAGGCACCTTGTGAGGGAGGTGGGGCTGAGAGAGCTCCGACTGAAACTGCTCTTTTTCAAGAACAGCTCTTATCAGAACTACGGCTTGCCCAAGCTCATCCAGCAGGTGCAAGTGGAGGAGTGGGGAATCAAACCTGGTTCTCTCAGATTGGAATCCGGTGCACTTAACCACTACACCAAACAGAAAAGAAGAAGAAGAAGAGATTGGATTTATACCCCACCCTTCACTACCCAAAGGAGTCTCAGAGTGGCTTACAAACCCCTTCCCCCCCCACAACAGGCACCTTGTGAGGGAGGTGGGGCTGAGAGAGCTCCGACTGAAACTGCTCTTTTTCAAGAACAGCTCTGTAATGATTCCTTGTTTTGTATGTATGTGTGTCTCTTTAAAAGTTTGGTTGCATGGCTGAGATATATTAGAGTGGTTGAAGACACAAGAGTGGTGTGATTGGTGATTGACAGAGAGGGGGAGGGGTTTTGGAAGTGGTTCTGAGTGGATGAATATGTATGTCTGTCAAGAGTGACGGTTACAGGTTTGACAGTTGAAAAAGACAGTCGATATGTTAGTGAGTTCTGAGGTCTGGGAGAGAGACAGTCTTGTGTGTGATACAAGAGTTAAGTTCTGTGTATGAAGAAAAGTTGAATGTATAAGGAAACAGTAAAGTAAAGTTTAAGGAAACAAAAGTTATATGAAAGTCTGAGTGACAGACTGGAGTGAAACAAGAAATGTATATGACCCTGAGTTAATGAGTTACTTGAAAGATCCCTGTCAGAAAGGGAGCAGATCTTTTGTGAGACACAACGCAATTGCTAAAATTATTCACATTACTGGTTACATTGTTCTACACTTTTATTTATGAGTATTTCAATAAATCTACTTTTATTTAAACATACCAGCTGAAAGGAATCCTTCCTCAGGAACACTTAGTACCTTGAAAAGCCTTAAACTCGACCTACCTACCCAGTAATAGAAAGAGTAAAAGCAGAAAGGTTTGGAAATCCTTTTAAAATTTCCTGGTGGCAGCCAGATATACCCAGTAGAACAAAACATAAAGAACCCTTTTGAAGGGAAACCAGACCTCCCCAGATAAGGGGTCGTCACAAGCTCTTATCAGAACTACGGCTTGCCCAAGGTCATCCAGCCAGGTGGAGGAGTGGGAATCAAACCTGGTTCTCCGCGCACTTAAGCGCTACACCAAGCTCACAAAGTAGAATTTTTGCTCACAAGACTCCACAGCTGAGAGGGAGCATTGGCCGGGATCGGAGTGACCGACAGCCGACTGAGAGTCCGGCTATTCCGGCATCGTGCCTCAACCCTGAACAGCCAGATTCCGCCTCTGAAGCAGAGAACAGGGCAGGCAACAGCCGCCCTCTGTCCCTGAAAGCTGGTATTCGAAGGTAGACTCCCTCTGCATATGGGAGTTCTGTTTTGCCCTTGTCGCTAAATAGCTGCATACAAAGGTCTGTCTCTCCCTCCTCTTCTTGGGAAGGTCTCTTCGATGCGGAGAGGTGCTGTCAAGTCGCAGCTGACTTTATGGCAGCCCCGTAGGGTTTTCAAGGCAAGGGAGGAGCAGAGGTGGTTTTGCCTTTGCCTGCCTCTGCGTGGCAACCCTGGACCTCATTGGTGGTCTCCCATCCAAGTACCAAGCAGGGCCGACCCTGCTTAGCTTCTGAGATCTTTTTTTTTTTGAGCCCCCGGAGGGGATTTTTTATTGAGTTTTTAACACTACGAAAAACTACATATAAGGGAGAAAGTAAAGAACCGACTACTGACTAAAAACCCAAGAGAGGAGATCCTCTAACTAATTTTTTTTGCATCCAAACTTTTCATCTTTGTACTTATGAACTGTGTCAAACTTTTAGAACTTTTAACCCTCCCCATTTACATTTAGTTGCCCAATAACAGTGCCCCCCATCATCCCCTAGAACCAAAGTTCTCAAAGGCGCAATTCAGAGTCCTTCAGCCTTTACTACTTCTTCTCTCTTTTCCGCAGTTTGTAGGGACTTTTCGGGGCTGCTGTCCCCTGCTCAGACGAAGAGTCCTCGCCAGAAGAACCAGTTTCCAGCTCGCCGCTGGACCTGCTGTCTTCTTCTTTTTTCTCGTCCTCTGACCTTCCCAGCTGCTCCTTTAGAAATTCTTGAGCTTTAAGAACAGAGTCAATCTTAACCTTCTTCTCTTTGATCTTAAAGATTATTTTTCTTTATAAATCTTGAATATGACCTGTAGGCCACATCCATGTCGTTAAGTAATAATTCCACCTTTATATCTGTTACTGGGGCGAGTAGCTCACTCATACGTTCTTTAAGATTCTCTCCTCTATTCTCTGGCACCCCTTGGAAGCGCAGGACCATGTTGGCCTTATCCATTTGCACTTGCAGCATCTGATCTTCCAAAGAAACAGTTTTCTTTTCCAGTTTTTGCACTTTCTTCATTACTTAGATCAAGTCCGTTATTTGCGTTTGTTGAGTAGTGATGCTTGTTGTTACAACTGAAAGCTGATTTTGCTGCGCTGTTAT